GTTTTTTGAGAAATTTGGAAATACTATCTAAATAAAAGAGATTTGTGTCGCACAGCGTGTTAAGTTCATTCCGTTTATTTATTGTTTTATTATTATAAACAGCTAAAAAAGATCATTCTATAATTCTTCGTTTGAATAAATTTTGTTCGAATTGTAGTACAGCCGGGTTAGAAAAGTCCATATCGTGTTTTAAAGTATAAATATGGTCCGCAATCATAGTTTTAAATTGCCTCTGAATTTTTTAATTGTTTTTATGCTGTTGTAAGCGTTTCATTAAGTTCTGGCTTGTTTCTCCTATGTATTATAAATTACAATCTAGACAATTAATTTGATAGGCGAGATTTCTAAGTCGTTCGATATTAAAAGGGGTTTGTGTTATGGTAAAATTGTACTAGTCGTTGTACTAAAATTGTTTACAAGTCGGAGTCCAGATTTATAAAAAATTTTTTACAAAGAACATACAATTCTTTAATGTATGGCAAACATATCACACCAGAAAAAGTTTGAGTCAGGTAAATGGTTTTGTACTGTGGAATTGTCCATTTTATTCAAAAGGTATGTTAGTCTGTTACTGGTTACGGAGTTTGTAAGTTTTAAGGGATAAGAGTTATCTGTTAGAATTTTCATAATTAAATTGATGTTGTTGTTCCAAAATGTTTTGTTCGATAGAAGTATTTCGTGGTCAGTTAGATTTATCATAGTTTCCACTGAATGAAGGCTAGGATTATAGCCGAAACGTATGGATTTAAAATAAATTTTTGAAAGAAATTCATGTTTTTTATTGATGTTATGCCCGATTACTAGACTTTGTTAATACATATGTTAACATCAAATTCAGAATCATACAATATATATATATATATATATATATATATATATATATATAATGTGTATAAATGTTTGTACAAACTGCATAAATTCAACACCTACCCTTTAGGAATTTATCTTATCAAAATTAATTGCTCAGATTGTGACCTCACATACGTAGGTGAAACAAGTAAAAAAAGAATAAGTCGGACTTGAATATTTTTTAAATTTTTTTGAATGCCATTTAATTTCACGTTTAAACAAATTCTTTGGAGCAAGATGTTTCTATTTTTTTCTACGGATCTATTTTTGTCACCTCGGTATCTTCCCCTTAGACTATTAGCACGCGCTTAAGAGATGTGTAATGTCTTACATATGCCACTGTAAAATACATACATACATACATACGTACATACACACATACATACATGCATATGTATATATATTGTAAAGCTTCGAACAAAGGATCCAAAAAGTAATAAAAACAAAAAAGTTTTTTTAAAAAAAACATTTCTTTATTTATTAACTTCCCGTAGGGCAAGCTATAGTAATCGCAAAAAAATCGGAAATGAAATTTTTTATATATCTTTACGTTTCAAAGGTTTCTGAATATTTTGGCATACCTTAGAAAAAATGGATGTATGCGTGATGCCTTTATGCATCCCAGACCGGTCTTCTGTCTGGATATGTCAAACTCGATACCGCCCTGGTATAATACCGACTAAAAGCTCCGCTTTGCCCTTGCCTCTGGTCCCCACGGAAACCGCCGTTAGGCATTACTTCGTGGGGGGAGGATCTAGAATGATATAATTCTTAACTTGTTTCATACTCATCTTTTAAGTGGGCGAAGTCCCATTCGTACTTTCCTTTTCCATAGAGCGCAGGTCAATTAATACCTCTCTCGCAAATGTGTGTGTGTGTGTATGTGCGAATACAAATGTTCGTCGACGATTTCGGGAACACCGATCAACCGATTTGAATAATTAAAAAAAAACATTCGATTCGTATTGATAAGGAGACGTGCTGATTAGTTTTTGGCGAAGGCAGGTCTAGCCGTTCCGAAGATACGGGGCAAAAAGTGCCAAAAATGGTAACTCAGTTTTTAAGAGAACGGACCGACCGATTTTAATGATTCAAGAAACATTTTACTTGTATTGGCGAGATGAAGAATTGATCAATTTTTCATGAAGGCAGGTCTAGCGGTTTCGGAGATCTAGTAAAAAAAGTAAAAAACATGCCATTTCGCCGTCAAAAATGATCATTAGACATATGCACATCAAATTATCAGATATTTTATAGAGATTTTAACAATAAGTATAAATTTTGTTTACATTCCTATGGGTTCCGTACCAATGTTTATCCGTTACACGGCGACGCGGCGCTTACGCGCTTCGATATTTCGTCTCTATGCAGTTAAAGCAGAACGATTGTTGTGCTTAGCCTGGATGATTTTCTGAATTTTTAATCCAAAATTACAAAAATATTTTTTGAAAAAAAATTAGAAACAAATTTTTTTTTCCCGAAAGCAATTATTTTGTTGAAACAAGCAGAAAGTTTTTTGAATCATTTAAATCGGACGCTTAGCTCTGTATATCCGAAACCGCTGGGCCAACCTTTGCCAAAAACTAATAACCACTTTTCTTCGTTATTACGAACTGAATGTTTTTTGGATCATACAAATCGGATGTCCGTTCTCTTAAAAACTCGATTTCTATTTTCTGCACTCTTTGCTCCATATCTCCGTAACGGCTGGACCTGCCTTTGTCAAAAAATAATCAGCACATCTCCCCATCAATAGGGATCGAATGTTTTTTCAACCATTCAAATCGGTTGATCCGTGCTCCCGAAAACGTGGACGAAAAAATGCGGACATACAAAACACAAATCCATGTTTTCTAAGGTATGCCCTTTAAAAATGTTCAGAAACCTTCAAAACGTCGAGAAATACAAAAATTTTCAATTTCGATTTTCGGCCCATTACTATAACTACCCTACGGGAAGTTAAAAATTTCATGTTTTTTAATAATGTTTTTCGTTAATATTATATTAATAATAATTGTAATTACATATATTTATGTATTTTAATTAAGTAAAAGTATGTATAAATAAACTGATAATCGCATCGTCTTTAATTCTTACAAAATCATTAAGCCGAGGTTCGGTCGAGCGTGGTAACTATTTTTACGAAATTCTAAATTTGCGCAACAATATATATATATATATATATATATATATATATATATATATATATATTAATTCAAATATATTATTTCATTTGTCCCTGATAGAATTAGATTGAAAAGTATAAATTCACTTCAGATAACAAGTGTGTTGCGAAAAATTTACAATCGAATTAAAAATATTGAATGTGTGTATGCTTGGTCAATTGCCAAATATTTATAGATGTACATCCTGTCTGTCTAAAAAATTTGTACGTTTAGTTTTAAACAATTGGACATATGGATATAAGGGTATATATATATATATATGTATGTATGTGTGTGTGTCGATATGTGAAATTTCGTATTACGAATGGAACGATTATTAAGATGCAAATTTGAGCACATTAGTATAGTGTCGAGTCTTGTAGAAGAAAGTTGATAGGCTATCTATATTTAAAGATTATTAAGTTTCCGTAGGGTGAGTTATAGTGATGGGTTTGCATTTCGTCGCGTTTCAAAGGTTTCTGAACATTTTGGCATACTTCAGACAAAATGGATGTGTTTGTGTGTGTGTGGATACAATTTTTCGTCCACGTTGTCGGTTACACGGATCAACCGATTTGGTTGGTTCAAAAAACATCCGATTCCTATTGATAGGGAGATGTGCTGAATTGTTTTTGTAAAAGGCAGGTCCGGCAATTACGGAGATAAAGAGTAAAGAGTGCAGATAATAGAAATCGAGTTTTAGAGAGAACGGAGCATCCGATTTGAAAGATCCAAAAAACATTCAATTTGTTATGATTGGTAGAAGTGGTGACTAGTTTTTGGCAAAGGTAGACCCAGCGGTTTCGGAGATACAGAGCTAAATGTTTAAAAAATGGCAGTTCTTGAGTGAACTAAGCGTCCGATTTAAATGATTCAAAGAACTTTCTGCTTGTTTACACATAATAATTGCTTTTGGAAAAAAAAATTGTTCCTAATTTTTTTTTTTAATATTTTTGTAATTTTAGATTAAAAATTTAAAAAATTACCCAGGCTAAGCACAGTCTAAGCGCCACTCTGGTGCAAATATTTATCCAAGTGCATTTAGACTGTTTTAGAAAGTTTTTGGCAAAGGTAGACCCAGCGGTTTAGGAGATACAGAGCTAAATGTTAAAAAAATGGCAGTTTTTGAGAGAACTAAGCGTCCGATTTGCTTGCTTGTTTCAACAAAATAATTGCTTTTGGAAAAAAAAAATGTTTCTAATTTTTTTTTTCAAAAAATATTTTTGTAATTTTTTTTGGATTAAAAATTGAAAAAAATTTTCAGGCTAAGCACTGTCTAATCGCCACTCTGGTACAAATGTTTACCCAAGTGCGTTTAGACTGTTTTTGTACTGGAGCACTTTTCCAATTTTGTGAAAACTATTGAAAAATGTGAAAATGCCGCCAAGCTAAGCACAGTATAAGTGAAAATGTCGCACGGAATTATTTGCAAATGCGTTTAGACTGTAACTATACGGGAGCACTTTTTCAATTTTGTGCAAATTAGACAACTATTTTTTTTTTAAATTGAATTCGAAATGAAATGACGATTGTTAATGTTCTGGAGATAAATTGACTTATGATATACATTTGGTTTGCTCAGATATAACAAGATAGTAAACATAATGAAAGTTACACTATTTGCAATAATATATTTGAAAACGTTTAAAATTTCTCGAATATATCATTACAGTACGGGAAGTTCCAGCAATTTGCCTTAAGGCACGATGCCATACACCACTAGTTACTATAAGAATTTACACCGAAGATCACGATCTCGAAACGTTGTTTGCAAATAGCTGGTGGTTGCAAAAAAATTCTCTTACAAAGATGAAAAAAGTGTTGAAGAAATTCACACTTTAAAGGTCATTTAAGTATTGAAAAACCACGAAACGATAAAATTATAAGATTCTAACTATTATTAGTCTTTTAAATTTTTTGCCCTTTTGTTTTACTTTTTTTTTAATTTTTTGCCCTCCAGTGTTTTACTATTTCTTTTCTAATTAGACGGAGGCGAGGGCCACTGCGGGACTGTTTGCGAAATAGGCAGTGCCGGATCGACGCACTCGCCTGAATTAACAGTGGTCGTTTGTTGGGACGCCGGTCTGAGGACGAACTACAGGACAGGACATCAGGGCAGATACGATCTGAGGGCTGTCGATAATGCACAGACAGGTAACTAGAAAAATAATTGACTTTTATTAATCGATTTTATTAGTCATTCAATATATATCTATAACACTCATATACTTATATTAGTGCAGTAAACGGAGCGTATCAGGTCTGAATTTTTTTACTGTGCTCCGAATTAAATGAAATTTTGGAATTAGGTTCATCTCACCCTCAAGTTCAAAAGTGAAAACAATTCGGGTTCGGGGGATGACACCTTTTCTCAATTGTGTTATTACATTTTTTTCAAAATAACGTCGGAAATCGATAGAAGAACTAATTATAAGAAAAAATGTATTTTATCGTTTTTCAAAAAAAAAAACTAATACTTTTCAAGTTACTGGCCACTAAAAATTGATATATTTTTGGCGTTTTTCTCCGTTTTTTTGCAAATATCTCCTAAAATATACATTTTAACGAAAATCATGTAATGAACATAATAATGTCAATAAACATCTTAATAAATCGGTATTACATAAAGTGTTCTAGGAAAAATATTAAACAAGATTTGAAAGAGCAAAGTCGTTTTTTATTTCGTTCAAGATTTAATTGTTGTATTTAAAGCCATCTAGCGTCAAGGTTTTACATTTTATGCATTTCGGTGAAATTGGGTTTTATAGTACTCAACATAAGCTTTAAAATGAGTGCTGTCACAAATTTTTGCGTGTAAAATGGGTGAGCTATCATACAAATAAGAAGCATATAAAATGTTTTTTTCTTTTAAATCATATGGTTTAATGAGCGCCATTTCCACCAGAATTAATGTAATTCACATTCCATCTAGAATTCACTTCGTTATAGACATCTTGATGGATTCTAACAGATTCACTACTTTAGTACAAACTATTTTCAGAAAACTCACGATTTTATAAAAACCTTTTTTTCCAATTTGCGCGGCTCCGTAGTCTTTAAGCATTCATAACTCTGTCAATTTTTGTGTGAAAGAAAAATAATAAAAAACAATAATAATCCAGAAAGATTCCTTTGATTTTTATCTGTATGCTTTTATACGTATCTTTTATTCTTTTTGAGATATAATGAAAATAATTTCGGTTTTTAAAAAAATTGGAAAAAAAGTTTTTATAAAATCGTGAATTTTCTGAAAATAGTTTGTACTAAAGTAGTGAATCTGCTAGAATCCATCAAGATGTCTATAATAAAGTGAATTCTAGATGGAATGTGAATTACATGTGGAAATGGCGCTCATTAAACCATATGCTTTAAAAGAAAAAACATCGTATAAGCTTCTTGTTTGCATGATAGCTCACTCATTTTACACGCAAAATACTTGTAACAGCACTCATTTTAAAGCTTATTTTGAGCACTATAATACCGAATTTCACCGAAATGCATAAAATGTAAAACCTCACCACTAGATGGCTTTAAATACAACAATTAAATCTTGAACGAAATAAAAAACGACTTTGATCTTTCAAATCTTGCTTAATATTATTCCTAGAACACTTTTTAAAACACCCATTTATTAAGATTTTTATTAACATTATATTGTTCATTACATGATTTTTGTTAGAATTTATATTTTAGGAGATATTTGCAAAAAACGTAGAACAACGCCAAAAATATATGAATTTTTAGTGACCAGTAACTTGAAAAGTATTAGTTTTATAAAAGACATTTTTTGCTTATAATTAGTTCTATCGAATTCCGACGTTATTTTGAAAAAAATGTAATTACATAATTGAGAAGGGGTGTCATCTGAATTGTTTTCACTTTTGAACTTGAGGGTAAGATGAACCTAATTCCAAAATTTCATGCAATTCGGACAGTAAAAAAATTCAGACCCAAAACGCTCCGTTTACTGCACTATAGGTCTTTATTTTAATTAAAGTCCTCTAACAAGCTTGCGTTAAACCCTCAACGATTATCTGAAAATGGTGTGCATTGCCTGTCAAACAATTACTATTTCCATTTCAATAGTTTAGAGATGGTTTTATCTGTTTACCTTATTTTTTTCTGTCTTCTACCAGGTGTCGTCCATCCGAACATAATCTGCGACGAGTGCAAAAGGAACGGCCTGGCGGGCATAAGGTTTCGCTGCGCGACCTGTCCGGACTACGACCTGTGCGTTTCGTGTTACGGTGACGATAAACACGATATCGAACATCCATTCATAAGATACCAGACACCCAACAGTCCGGGGTTAGTAGTCGAAATTAAGTCGTAGATAATAAACGAACAATTCACGAGCATTAAGCAGAAGTTAGTTGAGCTAAAAAGTGACGAAAGTTGAGAAAAAATGAAAATTTATATGTATCTTTACTTTTCAAAGATTTCTGAACTTACCTAGGGTTTCTAAGGTTTCTAAGGAGACCAATGTTTGCTTGTTTGATTTCTTGAAAGACCGTTATCTACATCTACATATTATATATATAAAAATAAGTCGGGTTTTCCTTCCTGACGAAATAACTCCAGAACGCACGAACCGATTTCGACAATTTTGCATTCGTCGGAAAGGTCTCGGGCACCGCAAGGTTTATAACTAAGAAAATTAGTGGTGCATGGCATCGTGCCTTAATGCAAATTGCTGGAACTTCACGCACCGTAATGAAAAATTCGAGTAATGACATTAGTGAGAATTATCAGAATTATGCTTGCAATTAAGTCAACGAGCAATTCTTGCCGCAAAGAATAATGATGTACACGCACTGAATTGCACCATCCAATCAAAAATTGCTGGCGATTTGGTGACATGCCAATGATTCCGACTGGTCTTCCGTTTGACTTCAAACGATTGCAATTTCCAGTTCGCCAGTTCGCCAATCGCTTAGTGTTTACGGGATAAATTTCAAATAGATTATTCAAAAAATCATTGTTTTTCACATGGGCAGTTATACGTTGCCTGTTCACGAGTTGCAAAACCATCCGCTTTGTTTGTGTTAACATCAGACCGAAAAGCAAAAAATGTGGTTTACCAAAGAGCACTTCAATGAAACGGATAATTGGCGGATTCACTTTCATTTTCTTAGAGAGAAGTTCAACTAAAAAACACTTCATTTTTGTAATCGAAATAAATTCATTACTGTTGTGTAATAAAATCAAATTTTTCCTTTTCAAATATAAAACAAACAAAAAATTTCTTCATCTTTCTCACGAAACCATCTGGCGGCGAAACGGAGTTCGTCGGGTTTGCTAGTTTATTATAAAATGATATGTGGCTATCGAATTTTCATAATTTTACGTACTACATCATAATATTTATCAATTTTAGAGTACAAGTAGGACCTAGAAAAAATGCAGTCAAAATCCAACTCAAAGGAATATTTGTTGGTGCTAAAGTTGTTCGTGGAACAAATTGGGAATGGGGTAATCAAGACGGAGGAGAAGGTAAAATAATATACATTATATATATATATATATATATATATATATTTATATATATATATATGTAATATATATTTATTTATTTGAACTAAATATTCCTTTACCAGGTCAAGTTGGTCGTGTGATGGACATCCGAGGTTGGGACAACGAATCAATTAGATCGGTAGCTCATGTTAGTTGGGTTACAGGATCCACTAATGTTTATAGGTAAATAATAATAATTACAGTAATAAGTTACAATATTTGATTTATAAATATTCCATTTTAATTTTAGGCTTGGGCATAAAGGTAATGTCGATTTGAAGTATGTGCAAGAATCTAGTGGAGGTTATTACTACAGAGATCATATGCCTGTTTTAGGTAAGAATAAAAATGATTTATTTAATTAATAATTGTTGAGGGTATTTAATTATATATAAACTATATATTTAGCAATCAATTGCTGTCGATATACTTAATCAATATTATTTATTTATAGATAATAAATATTTTGTTAATAATATCATTTTTAGTGATTTATATATTTAGGTATTTACATATAAATTTTTAATATTCTGTAAAATAATATTTTGTTAAAGTATATATAAAAAATATTTATTTCAACAACTATATTTATAATTATCTATTAATTATATAAATTAATAATAAAATAACTAGTGGGGCGCCTTAAGGCAAATTGCTGGAACTTCCCGTACCAAAAATTATTTTTTTTAAAAAAGATCAACATTTTTGAAAAAAAATTACTCTGAAAAAATTAGATTTTTGAGAAACTATAAATTTTTGACAAAAATTTACTTTTTTTTTTGAAAAAAAAGACTTTTTGAAGAAAAATTTGTTTTAAAATATTTTGGAAATTCTGAACTTCTTTTCAAAGCAAGCGTACTGCTTTAACTGCATAAAGACGAAGTATCGAAGCGCGTAAGCGCCGCGACGCCGTCTAACTGATAAACATTGGTACGGAACCCATAGGAATGTAAACAAAATTTATACTTATTGTTAAAATCTCTATAAAATATCTGATAATTTGATGTGCATATGTCTAATGTGCATTTCTGACTGCCAGATGGCATTTTTTTTTTTACTTTTTTTATTAGATCTCCGAAACCGCTAGACCTGCCTTTATGAACATTTGGTCAGTTCTTCATCTTGTTAATACCAATAAAATATTTTTTGAATTATTCAAATCGGACGCTCCGTTCTCTTAAAAACTGAGTTACCGTTTTTGGCACTTTTTGCCCCATATCTTTGGAACGGCTAGACCTGCCTTCGCCAAAAACTAATCAGCACGTCTCCTTATCAATATGAATCGAATGTTTTTTGAATTATTTAAATCGCTTCATCCGTGTTCCTGAAATCGTCAACGAAAATTTGTATCCGAGCACACACACATGCACACATACACACACACACAGACACACACGCACACACATATACACACACGCGCACACACACACACATACACACACGCACACACACACATACATCAATTTTTTCCAAAGTATGCCAAAATGTTCAGAAGCTTTTGAAACGTAAAGATATATAAAAATTTTCATTTTCGATTTTTTTACGATTACCATAATTTGCCCTGCGGGAAGTTAAAAATGTTTATTATTATATATGAAATTTTGTATTGAGAAAAAAAGCATTTATGTTTCACACTTTATAATCAATATATTCAAGAACAAATTTTTCATTTAGCAAATTTTTAGTATCTAAGCAATATAAATGTAAAATTCAAATTTAAATTATGATTTAACTTCAATATGTTTTTAATCAACTGTCGTTTTCAGGTAAACCTGAGCCAGGTAATCCAACCAGATTAAAAATGAGTACAAAAGCCACAAACAATGGCACCTGTAATAATTCCTTTTTCGCCGTCGGCGAGCGAGTTAAAGTCGTCATGGAGCAGGAGCCATTGAAACAAATGCAGCAGGGTCATGGTGGATGGAATCCTAGAATGGCCCAGTATATAGGAAAGGTAAACACACTTAATAGACAATAGTTATGTTATTTATATGTATTCTTAAAATATTTTATTGCAAATAGATTGGCACAGTGCATAGAGTAACTGAACGTGGAGACATTCGCGTCCAATATGAAGGCTGTTCGAATCGATGGACGTTTCATCCTGCAGCCTTGGTTCGAGTGGATGGAACAGCAGGTACTTATATATACATATATACATATATATATATATATATATATATATATATATATATATTGTATGATTCTGAATTTGATGTTGACATATGTATTAACAAAGTCTAGTAATCGGGCATAACATCAATAAAAAACATGAATTTCTTTCAAAAATTTATTCTATATCCATACGTTTCGGCTATAATCCTAGCCTTCATTCAGTGGAAACTAAAAATAAAATTAAAAACTAAAAACAATTGAATTGAAGTAAAAAGAAAAAATAAAATAGTAAATAGTACTTACAATTAGTTAATCTTAGTGTTAAATTGGAAGATTTTATTAATCCATGGTATCAGGATATGGTAATGCACTACACTATGTATTATAAACATTAAACTTGTAATTACACAATATTTTCACAAAATACTAATTTAAAAAATCACAATTAGATAATGTGTTGTTCGCAGACTGGTTGAAGATATAATGGAGAAACGACTTTTTAAAAAAAATATTTTTTTTTACCAAGATTCTACACATGTGTGGAACGAATTGCGAATCCTTTGGGCGTCGTTTTTATTGTTTTGTGAGAAATTTGGAAATACTATCTAAATAAAAGAGGTTTGTGTCACACAGCGTGTTAAGTTCATTCCGTTTATTTATTGTTTTATTACTCTAAATAGTTAAAAAAGATCCTTCTATAATTCTTCGATTGAATAAATTTTGTTCGAATTGTAGTACAGTCGGGTTAGAAAAGACCATATTGTGTTTTAAAGTATAAATATGCTCCGCAATCATAGTTTTACATTGCCTTGGATTTTTTTAATTATTTTTATGTTGTTGTAAACGTTTTATTAAGTTCTGGCTTGTTTCTCCTATGTAAATTAAATTACACTAAGATTAACTAATCGTAACTACTATTTACTATTTTATTTTTTATTTTCACTCCAATTCAATTGTTTTAGTTTTTAATTTTATTTTTAGTTTCCACTGAATGAAGGCTAGGATTATAGCCAAAACGTATGGATTTAAAATAAATTTTTGAAAGAAATTCATGTTTTTTATTGATGTTAAGCACGATTACTAGACTTTGTTAATATATATATATATATATATATATATATATATATATATATATATATATACATATATATCATTTATTTCAATTTATATTTAACTAATTATTTTTATATACACTTTTTCATTATCTATTACGAATCTGTTATCTAGCTGCCCCAATAAATGGTGTCAACGATGGTGCATCAACATCAACTCATCCCCATCAACATCAACAGCCTACAGGAAGGCAGACGTTCAACATCGGAGACAAAGTCAGGGTCATCTGTGATGCCCAAGCCGTCAGAACTTTGCAAAGAGGTCATGGGGAATGGGTCGAAGATATGTTGCAGGTAATTATTGATAAGATATAAATAATATTTATATTCTCTTTCATCATAATTTTTTTCTCAGGCTTTGGGAAAAACAGGCGTAGTAACAAAAGTCTACAGCGACGGCGACTTGCGCATCGAGATTGAAAAGAAAACTTGGACTTTGAATCCACAATGTGTAACTTCACTGAATCTGCCTTTAAATACATCAACATCACCTCAAAGATTAGCCACGATGAATCCAGAACGATGTAACAGCATGGCTGATTTGAGTCATCACAGGAACGAACCAGTTTGTAAGCGAAAATAATTGTTTAACATTATTTGTATTTATAATTAATTTGTACTTAACATTATATGTCTTTTATAGTAACGCCTTTACCAGTTATGGCCAGCAGTACAGGTTTTGATAAATTGGTTCGAGAAGCTGCACAAGGCAATATGGATTACGTTAAAAAATACATAGAACAACATCCCGATCAGGTATTAATAGATTTTGATATGGTTATCTAACGTATATTAACAATTGTTTTCTTTTTTTAAGGTGGATGCGAGAAGTGGTGGCAAATCTTGTTTGCAAGTAGCAGCTCATCAGGGTCACTTAAATTTGGTCAAATATTTATTAGATAAAGGTGCCGATGTGAATCAGACTGATAATGATAAGGATTCAACGTTGCATTATGCAGCTTTTGGTAACCAACCAGAGGTAAATAGATAGTTGGATATGTAACACAGTGTATAATTTTAATACTTACTTAATATATTATGAACAGGGCGGGTAAAAATAGCATGCAAGTATTTTTGCTTGTTTGAATGTCGCTAACTTTAAAATTGGTTGAAAGAGTTAGCTGGCAGTTTTTATTGAGATTCAATTAATTTAGTTTTTTGTCATTAGTATTTGGATACATAGCAATATGTGATTTTTTTTATATTTCTCAAAATGACTTTTTATTCCAAACATTTTAATTTGTATACATTAGTAAAAACTAGACAAAATTTACTAAAATTTAGTGTAAAGCTATATAACAAAATTTTAAATAAAACTTATTGGAACATTTATTTCGTGATAATATGTTTAATAATATGTGAACTCAGGACTTTTTTAGTTTTTTTGAATACTTCCAAAATTTTGTTCCGGTCTTATTGTTTTATATACATCAGTAAAAACTAGATAAAATTTACGAAAATCTAGTAAAAACTGTTATATACACTACGATATTGAAATTTTGAATAATTCGTTGTTGAAATTTATTCGGATTATTCGGACTTTAGTATCTTGATAATTTGCAAGTGTAGGGGTTTCGAACATTTGTTCAGTTTTCTTTAATAACTTTTAATTTTATTCTCAGACATCATAATTTGTTTACATTAGTAGAAACCAGACAAAATTTACTAAAATCTAGTATAATCTGTTATATACACTCAGATATTGAAATTTTGAATAATTTGTTGTTGAAACGCGGACTTCAGTATTTTGAT